TTTTGTGTGAAACACTTTTTGGATGGAATGTGATCAAGTTATGCAAAGCCACCATGAGGTTGACATTTGGGGTTTTGTGTGAAACACTTTTTGGATGGATTATGATCAATTTATGGAAAACAAGTTTAGTAAATATCCCCCTTAGACTTTATAAAATATAAATCACTGCAACCAGATACAATTGGAGGTGGAAGTTAGAACCTCAATATAAATATTTCATTAAATATTGCAGCCATGTCTGCTTATTTTTATTATATGGACTTGTCTGTGCCCCTTGACACTGAAGTTGTGCCAGAATTTCCTGTTGTATCTGTACTTTTGTATTTCTGTTCTATGCTTATTTTCCTTTTGTTTTGTAGGCTCCTAATGTGTTTTCCAAAAACATAAAAAAAATCTAAAATATTTTTTCATATTAACATGGTAACTGTTGATATGTGTCATGTAATTTATTCTTTGTTTTTTCTGTTATGTGCGAGATGGACAGCCAAGTAAACTAGTTTTGTAATTTTCCTGTTTCCGTTTTTCAGTCCCTGATACTAAAAGTCCACAGAAATTCAAAATCTCAATTATGCATTAAAGTGTTATTTAAACAAATACAACTTTAGAACACTCAATATTTCAAATTTCTACTTTTCAATTTTGTAATTATCATTTTTATGATGAAAAATGTAACTGATGACTTTTCAAATTTTATAAAAACAGATTTTTAATTTAGTTTTTTCTTCTGGTCAGGATAGACCCACATTTCCGGATGGTGTTCTTGTTTCAGGAAGTGGCATCTTCTAACTTCATCAGAGAGTTCAGCATGCGACAGCCCAGGATGCTGCAGTTTCTGAAAGAACTGGAGGAGGCTGCTGTTCAGTTAGACAGGATGAGGAAAGGGGCAAAGATCTCCAGTGTGGCAGGCAGCTCAGTGGGGGCGGTTGGAGGCGTGCTTTCTATTATTGGTTTGGCGTTAATTCCTGTCACAGCTGGATTGTCTCTAGCACTAACAGTGACTGGGATCGGGATGGGAATCACCAGTGGAGTCAACAGTATTGTCACCACTGCCACAGAGATCATAGTTAATAGTAAACACCAAAAGAAAGCCAATGCAAGTCTCCAGAGTTTCATGGAGGATGTGCAGAGTCTCCAGGATTGTCTGGGGGAGGCCACCAGTCAGCCAATCACTGATGTGGAAATAAGTGAGATAAATGTGGCTGAGGAAGCTGTCAAGGTGTTTAAGGAATCTTGTGCTGTTCAACAACTGATGACTGCACTTGTTATTGCCTCTGCAGCTGAGATGTTAAAAAGTGAAAATCTGGTTGCAAGTGCTGGTCAGGTGGTGGCCCAGGAAGCTAATGTGTTGCGTAACGTGCCCAGGGTGGCCTCAGACATCCCAGATATCGGTCAGGCAGCAGTCAAATGATGACTTGCTCTCTCCCAGTCAGCAAGGGCAGGGTTCATCACACTCAATGCTCTTTTCATTGGCATGGACATCTTCTTCATCTGTAAAGACAGCATCAGTCTGGCCAAAGGCAGCGAGACTGAAGTGTCACAGTTCATCAGAGCCAGAGCTGCACTGTGGAGCTCTGAGATGGACTCTTGGCAGAAGATCCATGACTCTCTGAGTGAGGGCCTGCTGACATCAGAGAAAAAGCAGGGTGTCCTGGAGACACCATTTTATCTAAAGATTGAGAAAAAGAAATTCTAGACTTGTGTTTAGTCATACTGTATGAAAATGACTTAAGAGCAAAATATTATACTGAATACATTCAATGCAATCTGTATCACTCAGATTGGATATAGGATTCAGGGCCTGCTGACATCAGAGAAAAACCAGGCTATCTTGGACTTGCCATGTTATCTGATGATGGAGAAGAAGAAACAAATTGAAGCAGAAACAGAAATGGAAATTCCTTCTGATGAAGTATCAAACAAAACCTGAAGGAAAAAGAGCTTTGTGTGATACAGTAGTGCTCAGCAAAGAAGTAGTGTGTTTGTGGCAACTGCAACGCTGTGATCAGATGTTAGATCAATTTTATGGAAATGAACAACGTATGAAAGTTCACATCAATTCATCAGTAAACATTAATAAAATATAGCCTATCTACTTTTATATTTTACCTGTAATTCTCTGAATTTAAACCACTTCACTTTTTCAGTTAAGTTGAACTGATGAATCTCTTGTCAGTCCAGTTTCAAAACATGCTTCATCATCAGTGTCATTAAGTAATATATACTCTACCTAATAATAAATGAAACTGAAAAAGTTATGTTCATTCTAGACTTGTGTTTAGTCATACTGTAGAAATATGAATTTAGAGCAAAATATTGTACTGAATATATTCAGTGCAATCTATATCAGTTATAATTCATTGTGCACATTTTGTTGCCTAATCAAACATTATTTGTTTATGAACTGTATATATAACAGGTTTGGTAGATGAATTAACATTCTAAAAATACCTTCCGTGTAATACACCTGAGATGATTCCTCAGTATTTAAGTGCAGCACTGGTCATGATTATGTATATTACCTGTTTCGTGATGATGAAATGAATTATTTTATTTTATATACATTTTTTTCTGTATGTACCTCTGGCCTCAATAAAGTTTTATCTGACCACACATCAGTTGTTCTCTTGGACATCCAGAAGTGAAAGTCCTGCAGCTCAGTAAAGAAACAACATCACAGATCACAACCAAAGAATCAGAGATGATCAATAACCTGGATAATGTTAGGGGAGAGAAGATGTTGACAGAAAAATCTAAGGCAAATGTTTGAGTAAAAAGTGAAGCCTAAAAAAGTAGAATGTTACTGGCAGTACAAAACACCCGGTCACTGTTAGGGCTTTCAAGGAAAGGACAAGTCAACAGTTGCTGAAGGTCAGGAGCTGATCATGAGCTGATCCATCCAGGTTGCCAGTGGAACAACAATGATACAATGATCTAATGAGGGATGTTCATGTTAGGAATGTAAAGTTGTTGTTCAAGTGTCACCTGGGGTTTGTTTAGTGTAAATAATAGTATGGTTTCAGTTAGTTAGCATGCATTCTTCAGCTGCCTGGGGAAATGGCAACACTGAATCATCACCTGAAGAAAAATCTCTCTCTCTGTCTCTCTCTCTATCTATATATACATTTATGTGTGTGTGTGTGTGTGTGTGTGTGTGTGTGTGTGTGTACAGGTAGGCTGTATAACAGCCATTAGCTGCACTCCATTTGACTGTGCAAGCCTGCACTTGTTAGTCCCTACTCTTCTCACTTGAGCTGGATAGGTGTGACTTGTTTCTGACAATCTCATAGGGGTGGGTGAACTCAGGACATCCTCACTTTTGCTTTTTTACTGTTCACTTTCTTCAGCTGCCTGGAGAAACCACAACACTGAATCATCACCCGAAGACTATATATATATATACATA